TACAGGGAGGAGCTAGGGCGGGTCCGCATGTGGGAGAGATAGAAAGAGGAGAGTGGTGCACAAGGAGACAAAGTGTGCTTGTTTTGCAGTGGGGGTGGTGTATGAGGTGAGTGTGCGAGAACCACATAACTAGGGAGATAGACGTTTGGGGTCGACGTTTTGTGTGTATGGAAAAGATACACTCTACATAGTGCGTGTGCTTAGGAAAGAGAGATGCCGGGAGACCTAGCTAGAGAGTGGGGGAAGAGATGTGTGCATGCCTAAGAGATAAAGTGATAGAGACCTATATTGGGGTCCGAACTTTAGAAGAGAGAGGGGTGTTAATGTGCTAGTATGTTGGTGTTTGGGGGAGAGAACGACTTCTCTGTGTGTGGGGGCGACGAGGGGGGATTGCTTCAGATAAAGAGTGAGGTGTCTATATTTGAGGGACTTCAGCGTACTTGAGATATAAATGGTCAATAGTGTGTGCACTCAAGGTTGATCAATTTGTTTCACAGTTTGGACTATGAGATAACGATACTTTTGAACATGCGTGATATACTTTGATGTACCAGAATAACAAACCTAAGATTGGAATTTTGGATTTCGACTCCATCATTAGCTTTTGTAATTCATTTAAACGGATGTACATTTTTAAGCCGGGATTTCGTGATTTCAAATTCATATATCAAACCTAGAGATATACACATACGGGCATGTTCAAACTTTATAATCATCCACTTTACTCATACACATGCATATTTTTGCTTTTGTCATCATATTTAGGATAAACACATTTGAAATTTCATTTGAATTGGACTATATGATGGTATTTGCTTGTAGTAGCTCAATGATCCATATTTGAATTGAATGGATAATCTAAGTTTCGAGTTGGAGACATTGATTTTCAAAACTTGCACTTCTTTTGCGTGCAAAACAAACAAATTCTCGGCCATGATATCATAGTCGGCCGTACAAGAGCAGAATATAATTTCAGACGCCAAAAGCTTTCAAACTTCCCGCTCACATCGAAATATCTCGCGCTCGAAAGTTTAGCCCTGTGATATTCCTATTTTACCCCTACCACATGAGCGGAAAAGGCTGCTTTGGTAACTTCATTGTTTTCCCCTCTTTGCCACCAACATTCTTCCCCAGAGCCCCTCCCCTTCCCCTCCCCGACCCCCCCCCCCAACCAGGGTAAGCCGCCGAATCTAGTCCTCCACCGCAGCGGTGGACCTCACACCCCGACGGATCTACCTTCTGCACCTTG